GCTGCCAGCTTGAGAAAACTGTTAGCTCTGAAAGGTCTAATGTGATCATATCAGGCCCATGAATAACCTTCCTTTTGATTTACTCAAAGTCAACTGATAAGTGACCTTAATTACAATTGCAAGATTCTTTTTGCTGGGTAAAGTAACATGATCCTGGGCGTGATATTGCATAATGTCCACAGTCCTGGGGATTAGGGTAGGAAATCTTGTGGGTCCTGTTGGAATTCTGCCTACCACATTCACAGCCCCTTTTATCTTAGAATGTTTAACCTTCACCTTTTGCTCAATGGGAAGGGAAGGTGATCTCTTGATGCTGGATTTAGGAGAAGAACCTCACTGTGACAAGGTGTTCAAGGGTGCTTGGTGGGGGTAGGATTAAGAGCCAGGTGTTCTCATTGTTCATAGGGAGGGGAGCACTACACACTGGGGTCTACTGGGGGGAAATAGGGGAGGGACAGCAGGGGGTGGGGAGTTGGGGAGAGACAGCATGGGGAGAAATGCCAGATATAGGTGAAGGGGAGGAAGGCAGCAAATCACACTGCCACGTGTGTACCTATGCAACAATCTTGCATGTTCTTCACATGTACCCCCAAACCTAAAATGCAATAAAAAAAAAAGAGCCAGGAAGATGAATTAGTCTTGGATGAAGGACAAACATTTTATTTACACATCCAGCCTTGTTTATTAAGAACTTCTATCACCAATTGCTCAGGATCTGGCAGGGAACAGAGCAGAGATAGTCCACGCCCTCACGGAGCTGACAGTCTGGTGGGGTAGCCCATATTAAGGGTAATAAGTGTTTCCCAAGCAGAAGCAGAGGGTTCCATGGGAGGAAAACTGAGGCAAGAATGTCAGAAAGGAGAATGTGTGCAGTGCTTGACTTAGGTTGAAGGACAGCTGCTGTGGGGAATGGGAAACTCACCATCTCCCAGGCGAAGTTAGAGCTTTAAGCTCTGTAATGGTTTAACCATTATAATCTTGTCTGCAGAGCTCCAGGTCCTTCAAGAATCCTGGGTTCTCCTCAAGTCCCATGGATTACCAGGAAATGCCATGTCTTAGCTCATTCGCTCAGTGAGTTGCAGCCTAGGGGTTACTAACCTGAGTACACATGCTTACTAGGGCTGGAATGTAACACAAATACGTGAAACAGGCTGTGTGTAAAGCAAAGAACCTGGCAAGTGTGTTGGCAAATGGCAAATAATGGCCCAGGACCTCAGTATCAGGGATTAATCAGGAACTGAACAGGAGCATGGATACCTCTCTAAGGGGGTTGCCAGTACTTAGCCCAGCTGATCATGCCATGGGGGACAAATCGTCAGGTTGTCTGGCTTTTAACAAAATTCAGATTACCTTCTGAAACATCCCAGATTTTAAAAAGCTGAGTAATTTAAAATTTAAATAATTTAAAAAAATGTAAGGACCTCTAAAAAATGTAAGGGGTGATGGATGTGAAGTTGTTTATGGCCCATGGTCGTTTGTGGCTTTCCAGATTGCCCTTGTTCAATTGTGTTTTGGATGCTCCAGCCCCAGCTTGAACCAAGAAAAATTCTGAGCAGGAAGGTGGCCTCTGCATCTCAGGGCTCCCAATTCAGAAGTTCTTCAGAGACATCTTTTAGATTTCAGCAGAGGGAATCTTGTGTCTGCTCCTTGAGAGTTCCCCTTCCATTGTGATGATGACAACAATCCCATTGCCCTTTCTGCTGTGCATGTTAGAGGCTCACAGTTCAATTTAATTGATTGTTTCTGCTGAATCCAATATTTTTCTTCATCATCCTTCAAGTGGTCTCATCGACTCAGGCAACTGTACAGGCTTCTATTCTACTTCCTAGCACTTAACTATCTGACTCTGGACAGAAAAAAAGTATTTTTTTGCCTTTGTATCTATAGGTACTAGATACTTTGTATCTACAGGTACCTGTAGACACAAAGGCACTTTGTCGACACTCTATAAATATTTGAGGGTTGAACGCTTGATGCAATGGCCATTATTTTTTGTTAGTGTAAGAAATGGACATATGTAAAAGAACTTTGTGCATTTTGTAATCTATTATTAAAGAACTATTATTAAAGAACTCATCCTTTGCATTGCTCAATGACCTTTAATTAGTTAGGGTGGCCAACCATACCAATTTTCTCAGCACTGAGGGAGTTTTTGGGATGTAGGATTTACAGTTTTGAAGCTGAGATGGAGCCAGGCATGGTGACTCACACTTGTAATCCTAACACTTTGAGAGGTCAAGGCAGGAGGATCGCTTGAGCCCAGGAGTTTGAAACCAGCCTGGGCAATATAGTGAGATCTCCTCTCTACAGAAAATTTAAAAACTATCTAAGCATGGTGGCATGTGCCTGTAGTCCCAGCTACTTGGGAGGCTGAGGTGGGAGAATCACTTGAGACCGGAAGGCAGTGAGTTGCAGTGGGCCGAGATTGCGCCACTACACTCCAGCTTGGGCAACAGAGAGAGACCCTGTCTCAAACAACAGCAACAGTAACAAACAAACAAACAAAACCCAAACATGAAACGGAGCGGTTTCCCAGGATAAGAGACTGTCCCAGGAAAAGGGAGATGAGTTTGTCACTCTACCCTAAGTAAAGACCCAAAGTAAAATAATATTCTCTTGAAGCTCAAAAAATTATAAAAGCCTTTTTTTCTGCTGAATTGGGGTGTTTCCTTTCATCTTCTCATGGCAGTTTTGAAAGCTTTCATGTTTCCCTCTTTGCCTTGGCCTCAAAGTAGCTCCAAGGTAAGTTTATGGGTAATGTCAGTAGCATCTGTCAGTCTCGGTTGTGCGAAATAATTGTTTCATTGCCTCTACCTTGCTTTTTACTTTTTTATCTTTAGAAATTTTAACTTATGGTGCAAATTGCACCTGGAATTCTATTAAACTACTCTTACCCAGCATACATGAAAAATGCCTAAGCCTTTTGTCTTTTTACTTCCCTTCATTTGGTTACAAGTTCATTCTATGTGTTTATTAAATTATTTCAGCAGTTGGCAAACTATGGCTTATGGGCCAAATCTGGGCTCGCTGCCTCTTTCTGTAAAAAAAAAAAAAAAAAAAAAAAAACTTATCAGAACACAGCCATGCTCATTAATTTACATAACATATGTATAATTCTATACTTTATATATACACAAATAATTTATGTACATCTGTAATAATACATATTTAGTCATTTATTTATGGTTGTTTTCATGCCACAGTGTCAGAGTTGAATAGTTTCAATTGAGACTGTGTAGCCTTTAAAACCTAAAATATTTACTGTCTGAGCCTTTACAGAAAATGTTTGCCACCCCCTGTATTTATCACAAATTTCAAATTCTTTTGAAAGGATTTACATTTACATATAATCTCAAGTTTTATACAGTATGTGTATATTTGCTGTTTTGAAAATGTATAGTTTCAAAATTTACAGGTGTATATTTTCTGTTTACAAAATTAATATGAATTTGTTATAAAAATGTTAACATCACAAATACAAAGTGACAAGAGTGACCATCCCCTTTTAACTTAATTCCTATTGGTGGCCTCGGTTAGCTAGCTAACTAGGGTAGATTCCTATAGATTCTTTTCCATGCATAAACTAATCTACACATATCACTGAAATAGTACCAAAAAGGAAATAAATCTCTACATAAGCAAATTTTTCTGGGTAAGCATTCTTAGATTCTCCATCGGCAGCATTTTTCTGACATGCATTCACAGACATTCTCACTCATTGTTTCCAATATCCTTCCTCATTGATCTAGTTTAATGAGAAGGCTTTTCTAACTCTTCTCCACAACGGCAACATCTTTGCAAGTTCTAATTATTCCTGGTACTTCTCACCACAATAATTATTCTTTCTTTATCATTACTAATTACTGTTGCTTTAAAACATCCCTCAGAATCAATGAGAATGGCAGATGCCTGGAGACTGTCACTTTACTTCTGAACCATCACCCTAAATATTCAGGGCTATGGCTTCAGCTGATTACCCACCTGCTTCCAGGAGAACATCAGGACCAACAGCCTCATGCCACAAGGATGGAAGTCTCCTAGGGCCTCTGTCATCACTCAGAACCTTAGACCCATGGTGCTGTCTATATCTTTGATTGTCCCACTCCTCTTGCCTCCCCTCTCTTCCCTCCCCAGTTATTTCCTCCATCACCACTGGAATTCACAATCTGTAACCAGGAAACATCCTTACATTCCTAATGTCTTCTCCAAACATTTTCTTTCATTTCTTGTCTTAGCTTAAACCTAGTAGTCCCCTATCCTTCTTACTGGCTTAAGGTAAGCCTTCCCAAGTGTAGGTTGCTTTTCTCCTCATCTCGTGTACCTCAGGCATCCCCTTTGCCACTTTCAAGACATTTCTTCCCATTTTACCTAAAAAATAAAATCCTAGACACTTTCAAGTGAAGTCCTGAGTTTCATCTCAATTCAGACCAGCTGCATCTCAAGTGCTTAATGGCCACTGGCTGCCATATTGGACAGAATAGCTGTAGTATCAGCTGATCCTCCTCAAAGTGGTCCAATGTCTGCCATATTGGACAGAACGGCTGTAGCATCAGCTGCTCCTCCTCCTCAGAGTGGTTCTTGGCATCAGCTACTCCTCCTTAAAGTGGTCATCTATCATCGCATTAATTGTTAAAGACTCTGATGCCTACCTCCTCACTATCTTTCTTCCCACTCCACTTTGCTCATCATTCTTGATGATTTCAGCATTTACACAGATAAATCATGTAACTCTTTGATGTCTCCATCCTCGGGCCTTCCCACACAGCCACAATCTTTCCCCCACCAGCCCACTTTTTCCGTAGCCACATCCTGGACCTCACCATTGGCGGTGACTATACAACCTCTGAAATCTGGATTTCTAGTTTTCCACTCTCTGACCACTTACCTTCTGTTTCACCCTAAACATTTCCTGAACCCAGTAAGACCTTTACGTCAGCTCTATCCAATAATATAATGCAAGCCACACGTGTCATTTAAAATTTTCTAGTAGGCGCATTAAGAAAAGTAAAATAAGCAGTTAAAATTAAGTTAATAATTTTTAACCTAATAGATCCAAAATATTGTCAACATGTAATCAATATTAAATTATTCACAAGATACTTAACATTTTACTCTTTTTATACTATGTCTTTGAAATCCATGTACTTTATACTTCTAGCACATCTCAATCCAGACCAGACACATGTCAAGTGTTCAGTGTAGCTAGCGGCTACCATATTGGGCAGAGAAGCTGTAGTCTATTGATTTGATTAGGTTTCATCTATCCTGTGCAATGTCCTTCTATTCTTTCTTATCCAATGTAGATTTCATATCTCATTATTATCATCATAGTATTCCAAGTGTCCTCCAGTCTTTATTTTTTCATCTAGAAAAACACTCATTATAGATTGGATGAAACCACTGGTCTGTACCCATGCAATTGAATATTACAGCATAAAATCACACATCTGTATTTTCTGGTGTGTGAAGACTTGCTGGTGAAGCCTTGCTTCACTTTCGCTTAATGGTTACAAATTTCAAGTGGACATATAATGCTCCCCAGAAACCTTAACACATTCATCTGGTTACATTTATTTTTCTACTCTCTGAGATTATTATTTCATATATTTTTGTCTCTTCTCAAATCTCTTTCATCTCTTCCTCCCCTGACCTCTACCTTGCAGCAGATGCCCTGGCTTCCTTATTCACTTACAGATGTCATAGGTATACCCAAAATGAAGCTCTGCACCACCCAGTCCATTCAATGCAGGTAATGGTGCCATCATCAAAGCCAAAACCTGACTCAGTCTTAATTCTTTCTTCACTTCTAATTTACCAACAAGTCTGATATGGTTTGGCTCTGTGTCCCCACCCAAATCTTATGTTGAATTGTGATCCCAGGTGTTGGAGGTGGGACCTCGTGGGAGGTGACTCAGTGATAGGGGTGGCTTCTGATGGTTTAACACTATCCCCCCAGTGCTGTCTCTTGATACAGTTCTCATGAGATCTGGTTGTTGGAAAGTGTGCAGTACTTCTCCCTTCATTCTCTCTCTCCTGCCACTAACATGAAGACGTGCTTGCTTCCCCTTTGCCCTTCTGCCATGAGTGTAAGTTTCCCGAGACATTCCCAGCCATGCAAAACTGTGAGTCAATTATATCTCTTTTCTTTATAAATTACCCAGTCTCAGGTAGTTCTTTCTAGCAATGTGAGAACGGAGCTCTTTTATCCAAAATGAATCTAAAATCTGCCTACTTCTTTTCTAGTCTATAACTACCACCCTGGATCTAGTCCCCATCATCTCTTGCCTGGACTGCAGAGACAGCTAGCTGGTCTTCCTTGTTTTCATTCTGACACCTCGCAATTCATTTTCTACTGAGCAGCCAGAGAGGTCTTTAAGAAACATAAATTGGATCCTGTCACTCCCTTTCTTGCAACTACTCGTTTCCATGGCTACAAAGGTACATGATCTGACCCTTGCTTATGTCTTCACCATAATCTTTCACTTCTCTTCTCCCTACTTACTGTGTTCCCTCACTGGCTTCTTGCTTATTTCCTGAGCACATCAAGGTCTTTCTTGCCTTCTGGCTTTTGCATTGCAGTTCCATATGCTTGGAAAGACCTTCCCTTGGTGTTTGTCATAATTGGTTCCTTTCTCCTCTTGCTTTTTAGAGACATCTTCCCTTGAAATCCCATGTAAAACTGTCTTCTCGCCTCCCTCATCACTTACTCTCTTATCACTTCTCTGTTGCTTTCCTCGTGTTATTTATTACCTGAAACTCTCTAGTTTATTTTCTTATTTACTTCTTTATCATCTGTTTACCCACTAGCAATAAGATCCATGAGGGTAGCGACTTTGTTTTCTTCACTATTGCTTTCCCTGAGCCTGGCATAGTCCCTGACACAACAGAAACTCAGTGAATATTCACTGAATGAATGAATGGATGGACGAATCAAGGAACTGGATGTTCCAGTATTTCAGGACTCCTCTCATTACAGTGAAATGCACAGACTTGCAAGATTGAACTTAACGGCCCAGCAAGATCATTAACCTCAAATTTGGGTCACTGAGATTGACAAAGTGTCCCTTTTTCTCCCTTGATAGAGATCATGTCTATAAATACTTCTGGGTATTTAAGCTCTTCAAGTGTGGTAAAACAGCAAGTCTAAATAGACTACTTTCCTGACAGGGTTGGATCAACAGAATATATTATCCTAGAGAGACAGATGGGGTTGAAGCCTCAGGTCTATATCAGTTAGAGAGCTCAAAGGATGTTCATCATGCCGACTGTACAAATAGACTATGACCTAGGGGTAGTTCCAAGAACTTGTCATATGTTCTCTTAAAAAATAATGTAGCTTCAGCATGGAAGATGGACTGGAAGGAAAGAAGAGTTGGGAGTCTTTCATTTACAGGTACAAAAACTCATTAAAATAAAAGAACATACTGACTCATGTAATTGAGAAGGCTGGAAGTACTTGGCTTCAGGTATAGGTGGATCCAGGGACTCAAAGCTATCATTAACCAAAATGTGGAGTTTAATTACCCATCTCCCCCTTGAGCATGGGCTGGATCTAGGCACTTGCTTCCAAAGAATGAAGTATGGGAAAGGGAAAAAAAAAGTAACTTTTGTAGAGAGCCAGAGTAGCCCACCCCCTCTGGGGTGATCAGGAGCAAGGCTGCTATGAACTTTGGGTGAACTCCAGAGAAGTGAAACCATAATAGGAGGATGTGTATGTCTTGGGGCAGAGCACACAGGCGTAGAGAGATAACCTTAGCTTTCACTGACCTTGTTGCAAGATAGTTTCTTAACTGAAGTATGTGAACTGAAGTATCAGAATAATAACCATGGGCTGTTCTAAGTAACTGCACCCTTCCTTGGCTATGTGCTTTGTGAACATATAAAATAAAGTACACTAAGACTTTATTTTATATGTTATATGTTATATTTTATATGTTTATAACTTTAAGGTTAGGGCTGGAGAGACTGACATCTTCACCCTCCCAGACCGCCTAGCCCAGCTTTCTCTGTTTGTGTCTTTCTTTATCCCCCACCGTCCCCTCTTAGGTCTTTGAACCCTTGTGCAGTGTGGGATGCAGCACACACCAGAAACTTTATAGTTGAGAAACCTGGCCAACATTGGCCAGGTGATGAAGGTTAACATCACCAGTGATAAATCATTTTGATAACATGCAACCCCTGCTATCATGTGATAAGGAGGGCACTTCACTTCTGTAGTGTTCTCCATGCCAACAACTCCAGGTCTAATCATAAGAAAAACATCAGACAAAACCAAATTGAGGGAAAGCTCACTTACTGCCTGATTAGGACTCTATAAAACTTTTAATGCCTTGAAAAACAAGGAAAGTCTGAGAAACTGTTAGGGTAAAATGTGAAAACTAAATGCAGTGAGGTCTTTGGGGTTGGCTCCCATAATGGAAAATTTCATCAATGGAAAATTTCATCAGTGGAAAAGCAAGTGATATTTGAAGAAAGTGTGGGTTTAGTTAATCACAATGCACCAATGTTGGTGTCTTAGTTGCAGCAAATGTGCTATGGTAATATAAGATATTCACAGTAGTGAAAACTGGGTGAGGGGTGTCAGGGAACTCTGTGTGCTTTCTTTGCAACTGTTCTGTAGCTCTAACATTGTTTCAAAATAGCTAATTTAAAAAACTATCATCAGAACCTAATCTCTATTTATTTTTAAAAACGTATGTATTTATTAGGAAAAACATATTTTAATCTTTTTACTATCTTTAACATTTTTAATTGTGGTAAAACACGTAACAAAATTTACAATTTTAACTATTTTTAAGTGCACAGTTCAGTGGCATTAAGTACATTCACATTATTGTGCAACCATCGTCACCATCCATCTTGAGAACTTTTTAATCTTCCCAGACTGAGACTTTATACCTATTAAATAGTAACTCTCTATTCCCCCTTCCTCCAGCCCCTTGCAACCACCATTCTATTTTCTGTCTTTATGAGCATGACTACTCTAGGTACCTCATCTAAGTGGAATCATCCAGTATTTGTCCTTTTGTGACCGGCTTCTTTCATGTAGCATAAGATCCTGAAGGTCCATCCACATTGTAGCATGTGTCAGAATTTCCTTCCTTTTTCAGGCTAAATAATGTTCCATTGTGGGGGTAGACCATATTTTGTTTATCCATCCATCCACTGATGGACACTTGAGTTCATTCCACCTTTTGGCTGTTGCAAATGAAGTTTCTGTTTTTGAGCTCTGACTTATTTGCTGTCAGCAAATCTCATGGGTAGGACTACCAGTTGCTCAAGTTTGCCTGAGACAGTTCCAATTTTTGTCTGCTGTCCAGCATAATTATTAATAGTTTCCCTTTTATTTTCAAAAGTGTCCTGATTTGGAGGATACATTATGTGGCCACCCAATCTCTCTGTGTGGATCTCAGTAGTTCTGGGCCCACATCTTCCCAGCTGTAAGAGCAAGAGACAGGAAAGGTTTTCATTTCTCAGCACTTCTGACAAGAGTCTCCAAATGGAGCCTGACAGGCTCTGATGGAGTCAGGTTCCCAACCTTGAAGCAACAGTCTGGCTAGGGATATGTCATTGTTTGATTAACCAAGTATGGGTTGAATGCTACTCTCTAGCACCAGGACTGGAGTCAGCTCTTCCAAAAACACATTAGAAGGAGGGAGAAATTTTTTTCAGGTAAACTGGGAGGTGGAATGGATGCCAGGTATGCAGAAACACAGATGTCAACCAGGTGGAGAGAGATGAGGTCTTCAACTGATTTACTTTCCAATTCCCCAAATTAGAACAGGTTTAAGATTACATTTGGCTGGGCTCAGTGGCTCATGCTTGTCTGTAATCCCAGCACTTTGGGATTAAACAGTAACTTGCTGAGGTGGGCGGATCACTTGAGCCCAGGAGTTTGAGGCCAGTCTGGGAAACGTAGTTGAGACTGCTGTCTCTACAAAAAATATAACAATTAGCTGGGCATGGTAGCACATGACTTTAATCCCAACTACTTGGGAGGCTGAGGTGGGAGGATCACCTGAGCCCAGGGAGGTTGAGGCTGCAGTGAGTCATGATTGTGCTACTGCACTCCAGCCTGGGCCACAGAGTGAGACTCTGTCTTGAAAAAAAAAAGAGAGAGAAAAGAAAGATAGTATTCATAATTCTTTGCTCTTACTCCATTGCATCACAGTTAGTGTATTAAGAATTACATGTACCTCCAGATGATCTTGTCTTGGTAATAGCTCATAGTGATCGATTGTTACTGTTCCATTGTTTTCTTACCTGTGATAGTTGGGAATTACTGTACTGCTTGTGAGTTGCGATTTACAGTTGCTTCAAGTTTCTTTTACATTTCACCCATGGGCAAAGTAGAAATTTTGTTGTGTCAGTGGAAGAATACTGTGAGTTCCATCTGGTGTGTGTCAATGGAAGGAAATGGCTGAGAACCATTGTTGCAGAAAATGTTGCATTTTCTATCATGAGAAGTCTCAGGGACGCTTGGTGGGGCTAGCCTAATTCTCAAGGTGCTGCATTCTGGGCAAGTCCCATCTGTGTGGACCCCTGAGAGCAGCACTGGCTGAGATCACAGGCTTGAAGGAGGACAGCCTGTGTTGGAACCCCAGGGCTGCCAAAACTGTGTAACATTTGGCAAATTACTTATTCTCTCTGAGAATAATTGGGACTAATAATTGTTCCTCCCTCAGAGCATTATGTTAAGATCAAATACGATAATGCCCAGGAAGCATTAGGCAGTGATTAGCACATAGTAAAGGCTCAATAAAGATTCGCTGTTATGTTTACTATCTTAGACAACTCCAGAGCCTGGCTTACAAGAAGTCAGCTTTTCAATCTAGGATGGCATAAGACAGTGCAACTCCAAGTGGGGTCAGCAGACCCTGCAGTGTCAGCATCAGCTGGAAGATGGTTAGAAATGCGAATTCATTGGCCATAATTTAAAAAGTAAAAAAACAAAACAAAACAAAACAAAAGCAGTAGATGTTGGTGTGGATGTGGTAAAAAGGGAACACTTTTACACTGCTAGTGGATATGTAAATTAGTATAACTATTGTGGAAAACGGTGTGGAGATTCCTTAAAGAACTAAAAGTAGAACTACCATTTGATCCAGCAGTCACACTACAGGGTATCTACTCAAAGGAAAAGAAGTCATCTTCTAAAAAAGACTTGCACACACATGCTTATAGCAGCACAATTCGCAATTGCAAAGATATGGAACCAACTGAAGTTCCCATCAACCAACAAGTGGATAAAGAAAAGGTGGCATATAGACAGCACGGAATACTATGCAGTCATTAAAAGGAACAAAATTATGCCTTCTGCAGCAACTTGGGTAGAGCTGGAGGTCGTTATTCTGAGTGAAGCAACTCAGAAATGGAAAACCAAATATGACCTGTTCTCACTTATAAGTGGGAGCTGGGTTATGAGAATGAGAAGGCATAAGAATGATATAGTGGAATTTGGTGACTTTGAGGGAGGAAGGTTTGGAGGGGGATTAGGGATAAAAGACTACATATCGGGTTCAGTGTGTACTGCCCAGGTGACAGTTACCCTAAAATCTCAGAAATCACCCCTAAAGAATTCGTCCATGTAACCAAAACTCACCTGTACCTCAAGAATATTGAAATAAAAATAAAAATTAAAAAAGAAATGCAGATTCATGGGCTCCACCTTCTGAATCAGAATCTCAGGAGCTGGGGTTGCAGCTTAACAAGCTCTCTGGTGATTTACCTGCGTGCAAAGTTTGAGAACCACCATCTTAAAGAGCTTTTACATTAACCCTAGCTCCAGACAGTGATGTTACCGAGCCACAGCTTGCCAGTGTGAGAAATGACGGAAAGGAGGAAGACAAAACAGAAGCGACGTGGCCTGGGGAGAGAGGTGTTGGGGTGCTGGGGCTGCTTTCTGTCCACTGGGACCTAGAGGTAGGAGCAGACCCAGAGACCACACCCTCTCTGGAAGAATTCAACATGCAATGAAGGAGGGTGAGTGGCTGTTTATTTATTTATTTATTTATTTCAGAGGCCTCACTCTTTTGCCCAGGCTAGAGTGCACTGGCATGATCATAGCTCACTCACTGCAGTCTTGAACTCCTGGGCTCAAGCAATCCTCCCACCTCAGCCTCCTGAATGGCCGGGACTACAGGCCTGCCACTGTGCCTGGCTAATTTTAAACATTTTTTGTAGAGACAGAGTCTTGACAAGGATTGTCAATTTAGGATTGAACTATTTCAGAGCCGTCCTGTTTTTAGACTCCTTACCCAGCTAGAATGGCTTATGTCTCTTGCATGCTTGTCTCCCAGACTTGTAGCTGTTGGGCTTTTACCAGTCCTATTGCAGTTGGATAAAGACAGTGTAAGGTGCTAGGGCAGTGGCAGGAAGGGTTCCATTGACTTAGGAATTGGTGGAGCATCTAGAATGCAGAGAGGGGGCTGAGCCTGGTGGCTCACATCTGTAATCCCAGGACTTTGGGAGGCCAAAGTGGGTGGATCACAAGGTCAGGAGTTCGAGACCAGTCTGGTCAACATAGTGAAACCCCGTCTCTACTAAAAATACAAAAAATTAGCTGGGTGTAGTGGTGCGTGCCTATAATCCCAGCTACTTAGGAGGTTGAAGGAGGAGAATGGAATGAACCCGGGAGGTGGAGGTTTCAGTGAGCCCAGATGGTGCCATTGCACTCCAGCCCAGGTGACAGTGAGAGACTCCATCTCAAACAAACAAACAGAATGCAAGAGGGAACTATGTACTTGGAATGTGACAAAATGCTGTGGCTGTATCCTTTGGAATGGTATTAATGTCATGATACTTTTCACAGTATGGGAACAAGACAAATACCCAGCAAGCTTGAGGAAGTTACATGCATTTGAACAGTATTTGATAAGTCACTAACCAATCCCGCCATTCTTCTCATCATCTTAATGACCTACTATCATGTCAAGAGTCTGGGAGGGATCCTGCTCATCAAAGTAAATCATTTAAGCAAATTTCACGTACATGATAGCTTTGCGTGATTTCTTTGTATTTCCTGTTTTTGAGACCTTAGTGACTTATGACATTCAGCATATGCTGAGAATATTGGAAAGTTTATTAGACGGTTCCAGGGCTTATTCAGCAGTTTTGACCCAACAATCTCACTATGTCTAGCAATAATACATTAGACAAATACCCAGCTGGAATCTAGACAGATTGTGAAGATTGACAATGTGGTGGCTAAGTGTCCCAGGCACTCAGTGTCCCAGGGCAGGGCAGGCTCTGTGGACCTGAATGTGTGCTCTGGGGAATCTCACATAAAGCTTTGGGCTTTGCAGGTGGTCATACAGACAGGTCTGATAATACTAGAGAGGCCATTTGGAAGCAGGTGGCTCTTGTCAGGAAGACTCTGTTATGGGTTGAATTTTGTCCCGCCAAAAAGATATGTTGAAATCTTAGCCCCCAGTACTTCAGAGTGCAAACTTATTTGGAAATAGGATCTTTGCAGAGGTAATCAAGCTAAAATGAGATCATCAGGGTGGGTCCTCACCCAATATGACTGTTGTTCTTATAAGAAGGGGAGATTTGGACACAAAGGCAGACGTACACAGAGGGAAGACGATGATTCGACACACAGGAATAAGACAGCCTGTGTCTGCAGCCATGCAGCTGTGACCCAAAGAGCACCAAGGATTGCTGGCAAACACCAGGAGCTAGCAGAGGTCAGGAAGGATTCTCCCTTAGAGCGGTGGAGAGAGCATACACCTGCTGACACTTTGATTTTGAAGGTCCAAACTTCACAACTGCAAGACAATACGTTTCTGTTATTAAAGCCACGCAGCTGTAGGTACAGTTGCCTGTACCTACAGGGTAACTGATCCCTAGTTACCGTGGTTCAGTTGCTGATTTTTTGACTTTATAATGGTGCGAAAGCCTTACACATTCAGCAGAAACCACACTTCAAGTACCTAAAAAACCATCCTGTTTTTCACCGTTAGTGCAGTCTTCAATAAATTACATGGGATATTCAACACTTTATTATAAAATAGCCTCTGATTTTGCCCAACTGTGGGCTGACATAAGTGTTGTGAGCACGTTTAAAGTAGGCTGGAGGACATCATCCTTAGCAAACTAACACAGGAACAGAAAACTGAATACCACATGTTCTCACTTAAAAGTGGGAGCTAAAAGCTGAGAACACATGGGCACACAGAGGGAAACAACACACAGTGGGGCCTTTTGGAGGGTGGAAGGTGGGAAGAGGGAGAGGATCAGGAAAAAATAACCAGTGGGTATTAAGCTTAATACCTGGGTGATGAAATAATCTTTACAACAAGCCCTGATGACTGAAGTTTACCTATATAACAAACCTGAACATGTTCCCCTGAACTTAAAATAAAAGTTTAAAAAAATTTAAAAAGTAGGCTAGGCTAAACTATAATGTTTGGCAGGTGGATTAAAAGCATTTTTGTGTTCTCATTGTTCAACACCTACCTATGAGTGAGAACATGCGGTGTTTGATTTTCTGCTCCTGTGTCAGTTTGCTGAGAATGATGGCTTCCAGGTTCATCCATGTCCCTACAAAGGACACGAACTCATCGTTTTTGATGGCTGCATAATATTCCATGGTGTATATGTGCCACATTTTCCCTGTCCAGTCTATCATCGATGGGCATTTGGGTTGGTTCCAGTTCTTTGCTATTGTAAACTGTGCTGCAATGAACATTTGTGTGCATGTGTCCTTATAGTAGAACAATTTATAATCCTTTGAATATATACCCAGTAATGGGATTGCTGCTACACACTGGGGTCACATGGCAGCAGGAAAGAGTGTGTGCAGGGGAAACTGCCTCTTTTAAACCATCGGATCTCATGAGAACTCCCTCACTATCAGGAAAACAGCATGAGGGAAGCCACCCTGATGATTTAATCACCTCCCACCACATCTCTCCCTCAACATGTGGGGATTACAATTAGAGATGAGAGTTGGATGGGGACACAGAGCCAAACCATATCAGCAAGCCATCATCTTCACATTAGAAAATGTTCACAATTCTTTCCCAGTCCATTCTCCAGTCCCCCAACCATCTCCATAACAGCCCACATCCTGTGAACAGTGGCAGGGATGCTATCAGGAGAGGTATGAGAAGCAAGGTTACTGAGGAAATCGCCTCCTAGTTTGGAGATGTTTCTTCTTAGCAGCATCACCTGGGGAGCTGTCTTCTTGTGGGCTCAGGAACCCTCTGATGTACAGTGTTGCTGAGTGGTGTCAGGCTGATTGAGGGGAATGACAGTTCAAAAGGAACGTTTGGGCATATGTATTTTCTTCTCTTTGCCTGACATTTGCATAAAGTTTTTCCACCTTTCCTCTTTGTCTCTATTGGGATTTTGTTGCATTATTTATCAAACTCTGAATTATTTAGATAATATAGACTTTCATTTGACCCAAGTCAAGGAATGCTCTTCCCTGGTTCATTTTTCATTTTATTAGAGAATTTCAAAGGGGAAAGATAAAATATAGTATACAGAATTTTCAGTGCTCCCCCCCCACAAAAATAAAGGAAAAAGAAAGAGGATGGGCATGGGGCTCACACCTGTGATCACAGCACTTTGGGAGGCTGAGGTGGGAGGGTTGCTTGAGCACAGGAGTTTGAGACCAGCCTGGGAAATATAATGAAACCCCATCTGCACAAAAAATGAAAATTAAAAAAATTATCTAAACACAGAGGTACACACCTATAGTCCTAGCTATTCAGGAGGCTGAGGTGGGAGAATCCCATAAGGCCAGGAGTTTGAGGCTGCAATGAGCTGATTGTGCCACTGAACTCTAGCCTGGGCAACAGAGTGAGACCCTGACTTATTAAAAAAAGAATAGGAGGAGGAGGAAGAGGAAGAAGAAGAGCCTGTAATCCCAGCATTTTGGGAGACTGAGGTGGGTGGGTCACTTGAGGTCAGGAGTTTGAGACCAGTCTGACCATCATGGTGAAACCTCGACTCTATTAAAAATACAAAAATTAGCCAGGCATGGTGATGCATGCCTGTAATCCCAGCTACTCAGGAGGCTGAGGCAGGAGAATCACTTGAACTCCAGAGGTGCAGGTTGCCTGGGTGACAGAGCAAGACTCCATCTCAAAAAAAAAAAAGAGAGAGAGAAAGAAAGGAAGGAAGGAAGGGAAAGAGAGAGAGAGCGAGAGAGAGAGAGAGAGAGAAAGAGAGAGAGAAAGAAAAGAAAGAAGGAAGGAAGGAAGGAAGGAAGGAAAGAAAGAAAGGAAAGAAAGAAAGGAAAGAAAGAAAGAAAGAAAAGAAAGAAAGAAAGAAAAGAAAAGAAAAAAAAAGAAAAGAAAAGAAAAGAAAAGAAAAGAAAGAAAGAAAAAAATATGGTTAAAACATCCCTTACTAATTTCCTGGTGGCTGGCAGATATTTGCATCTGGCTGCACTCTTGATTTAAGTGATAGAAAAAGAAAATGTATTAATTTATAAGCTGAAAAGATGAGGAGTACAGTTAGCTGTAGACGTGGCTAGATTCAGGGGCTCAGACAATGTCATGGGGACTCATCTCTGTCTCTTGGCTCTGTTGCATTGTCTGAGATGTTTTCATTTTCAGGCAGGCCCTCCTTAAGTGTCGGCAAGGATGGATCTTCCATGGCTGCAAGCTCACATCTGATTACCTTGTTCATCTGCCAGAGGGAACCTCTTGCCCCATAGTTCTAGCTAAAGCCCCGGGAATAACACTTGTTGATTCTGATTGGTTCAGCTTGGGCCACCTACTCACCTCTGAACCACTCATCACAACCAAGGACATGCAATGCCCTGATTGGTCAGGGATGCATGCTGACTCCTGGAGGAAAAGGGTGGGGATCTGTCCCACCTAAATCTCATGGATTTATTGGTTGTTCAGGGGATGAAGGAATGCGGGGCGGCGGGGGGGAGTTAGTTTTGCAAAATAAAACTGTGGTGGATTTGTCAAAAGAGGAGCTAATATTCTGCACAGAAAAACAACATAGCCATCACAGTGTTTCCACACCTCCAACAAGA